CCAGTAGACGTAGTAATGTCATGGCTCATGGCAAGGTAAGATCTCAACCAGTAGACGTAGTGATGCCATGGTTCATGACTAGGTAAGATCTAAACCAGTAGACGTAGTGATGTCATGGTTCATGACAAGGTAAGATCTAAACCAGTAGACGTAGTGATGTCATGGTTCATGACAAGGTAAGATCTAAACCAGTAGTTGTTGTGATGCCATGGTTCATGACAAGGTAAGATCTAAACCAGAAGTTGTAGTGATGCCATGGTTTATGACAAGGTAAGATCTCAACCAGTAGACGTAGTAATGTCATGGCTCATGGCAAGGTAAGATCTCAACCAGTAGACGTAGTGATGCCATGGCTCATGACAAGGTAAGATCTAAACCAGTAGACGTAGTGATGCCATGGTTCATGACTAGGTAAGATCTAAACCAGAAGTTGTAGTGATGTCATGGTTCATGACAAGGTAAGATCTCAACCAGAAGTTGTAGTGATGCCATGGTTCATGACAAGGTAAGATCTCAACCAGTAGACGTAGTGATGCCATGGCTCATGACAAGGTAAGATCTCAACCAGTAGACGTAGTGATGCCATGGTTCATGACAAGGTAAGATCTAAACCAGTAGACGTAGTGATGTCATAGTTCATGACAAGGTAAGATCTAAACCAGTAGACGTAGTGATGTCATGGTTCATGACAAGGTAAGATCTAAACCAGTAGTTGTTGTGATGCCATGGCTCATGGCAAGGTAAGATCTCAACCAGTAGACGTAGTGATGTCATGGTTTATGACAAGGTAAGATCTAAACCAGTAGTTGTTGTGATGTCATGGTTTATGACAAGGTAAGATCTAAACCAGTAGTTGTTGTGATGCCATGGTTCATGGCAAGGTAAGATCTTAACCAGTAGTTGCTGTGATGCCATGGTTCATGACAAGGTAAGATCTCAACCAGTAGACGTAGTAATATCATTGTTCATGACAAGGAAAAATCTCAACCAGTAGACGTAGTGATGTCATGGTTTATGACAAGGTAAGATCTAAACCAGTAGTTGTTGTGATGTCATGGTTTATGACAAGGTAAGATCTCAACCAGTAGTTTCTGTGATGCCATGGCTCATGGCAAGGTAAGATCTCAACCAGTAGTTGTTGTGATGCCATGGTTCATGGCAAGGTAAGATCTCAACCAGTAGTTGCTGTGATGCCATGGCTCATGGCAAGGTAAGATCTCAACCAGTAGTTGTTGTGATGCCATGGTTCATGGCAAGGTAAGATCTCAACCAGTAGTTGCTGTGATGCCATGGTTCATGACAAGGTAAGATCTCAACCAGTAGACGTAGTAATGTCATGGTTCATGGCAAGGTAAGATCTAAACCAGTAGTTGTTGTGATGCCATGGTTCATGACAAGGTAAAATCTAAACCAGTAGACGTAGTAATGTCATGGTTCATGACAAGGTAAGATCTCAACCAGTAGTTGTTGTGATGCCATGGTTCATGGCAAGGTAAGATCTCAACCAGTAGACGTAGTAATATCATGGTTCATGACAAGGTAAGATCTAAACCAGTAGTTGTTGTGATGCCATGGCTCATGGCAAGGTAAGATCTCAACCAGTAGACATAGTGATGTCATGGTTTATGACAAGGTAAGATCTAAACCAGTAGTTGTTGTGATGTCATGGTTTATGACAAGGTAAGATCTAAACCAGTAGTTGTTGTGATGCCATTGTTCATGGCAAGGTAAGATCTCAACCAGTAGTTGTTGTGATGCCATGGTTCATGGCAAGGTAAGATCTCAACCAGTAGACGTAGTAATGTCATGGTTCATGACAAGGAAAGATCTCAACCAGTAGACGTA